CCCTTTGGGAATTGAATGACCCTTTCACAGGGGTCGCCTAAGACCATCGGAAAAAACATATATAATTACATATTGTTTTTGTGATTAATCACTATGCTTTAATTATGTTCAGTTTGTAACATGAAATTGGGGGTCACCCCAACATGAGGAACTGTATTAAAGGGTCACGGCATTAGGAAGGTTGAGAACCACTGTGCTAGGCAAAGATGTTTACATCCTCATCTCTGGAACCTTTTACTATGTAACCTTACATATCAGAGGGGAATTAAAGTAATAAATAAAATTAAGATGCCAATCAGTTGACCATAACATATTTTATCCTGGATTATCCTATGGCCCCAAGGGTCCTTAAATGTAGAAAAGGGAGGCAAAGGAAAAGATTAGAGTGATATGATGTGAGGACAGCTCTACTGGCCCTTGTGGTCTTTGAAGGTGAAAGAAGGGGCTACAAACCAAGGAATGTGGGCAGCCTTTAGAACCTGGAAAATCAAGAAATTGATTTTCCCCTAGAACCTCCAAAGGAACATGATCCCTCAGAATTATTAAGATAATAAATGTGTGTTGTTTTAAGCCAGTAAGTTTGGGATCATTTGCTACAACAGCAACAGAAAACTAATACAGTAATCTACATGTGGATGTTCCAGCTTATTTAACTAGTCCCTTATTGGTGGATACTTAAAGTCATTTTCAGTCTTTTGGAATTACATATTTTCATAGTCAACAAATGTCAAAGCAAGGATAAATTCAGATCTGTTGCTTCTAAATCCACAGCTTTTTCTATGTTATTATGTTGCCTCACATTAACTTTGCTCATTTTCTTTGTATTTATTGAGCTTTTATTTTATGCCAAGTACCATACGATTTTCCAGAGACCAGCAGCAAATTTACTAACAGTGTGAATGAAAGCATCTAAGGTTTAATCTGATCAGATCCTCCCAGAACCTGTTCCAGATCTTCAGCTCTGTATTTTGTATTACTCCATACATAGAGAGGCCACATGATGTAGAACTCTAGATTAAGAGTATTTGAGTGTGATTTAAGTTCTAAGTTTTGACTTGATAAGTCCCTTCACCACTGTGGGCCTCAGTTTCCTCTTCTGTGATATGACTGAAAATAGACTACTTGATCTTCAGAAGGACCTTTCCAGTTCCATGATTAAAAATCATTTCCATGGCATTTCTGTTAGAAGAGCAGGGTATAAACACCCTCATTTATGGGTGAGACAGTTAAGACCAAGAAAGAACAACTACAAGTTTTGGTTTTTGTTTGTGTCATGGGTTGGGTGGATGAGAGCCAGTCTTTTTCTACACCCCAGAATGGCTCTGTGAGTAGGTGCACCTTTAACTTGAGCTTCATTCCATGGCAGTAATTATCTTTGTATTCACTAACAGGGACATGGACAAATGCACATGCGTGAGCTTGTGACCACCCCCTTCCTTGTCACCACTCAAAAGCTCTGTTGATAATAGAGAAAGAAATAAAATTTCTGATTCATACTTAGACTCTGGGTGGTAACACCACATAATGTGGATGGCAAATTCACAAGTATCACATATACATGTTCTCTGTGTTTAGTAATGGTGCTGTAGTCTGCATAACTGAGCTCTGAGACTGAGCATTTTTTATTTGGGGGAGAATTTATTATTTTATAATTACCCTATTTACATCTTAATGTAAGAATTAAGAAGATGCTCATCCTTATTTTCTTTAATAACATTTCTAAATCAGCCTGAGACTGAATTGCCTTCATTCTTCAGTGTAGAAAATATGGTTATTGAACAATCTGGAAGGCAGATTTACACAGTAAACAGACTGCATTCTGCATTTTTCCATTACCCATATAAAATGTACCAGAGCAGGATTCATGCATTAAAATTCAATGTGACCTAGTTTAAGTATCCCATAGTAGCCCCCTTTGTCCAGTTTTTATCATCTCAGTAGCACTCCACTGTTGGAAAGCAAAAGGCTACAGCTTTATTTACACAATACAGTGTTATGCAAATGAGCAAGCATTAATCACAAGCATTTCCCAAATGAACCTTTACAAATTAATACCATTAACTTTGCCAGGGGGCAAGCAATTGCATTTCAGAAATAATATGTCTTTCCAACTGAGTCCCAGACATTTGCACAAATGTGTACAGCACACGAATCCCTAGTTTCTTCTAGACAACCTTCCCTCCCCCCTCCCCCACCCCTACCCCGCAACATGGCTATTCTGAGCACAGAATGAGGTTATCCTAAGTCTGAATGCACCTTTCTAATGAAGGAATGAGTGTACTGCAACTGTAGTAGGGTCATAAATTGATAAGCCTAAATCTTAATCTTTACCCTTTAGCGGGAAAATAACATTTCTAGAGGTAAGCCCTTCCAGGAAAATAGTTCTATACTTTTCTGTAGTTGGTTTTAAATAAGACTCAAAATTATTAGCTTTTTGTTTTTCATACAAAAATACTGAAAACTAGTACCTAACATAGGCTTCTAAAATATTTTTAAGGCTAACATTTCTCTTTTTGGCTAGGTTGTAAATTGGCAATAATTTTTCCAAATAATTTCTAATTTGCATATGAATTTCAATTCATTGGAGAATAGTA